AACTTGTCCTCCAATGAACCTTCAGTTACAAAGAGTTTCTTATAAGATTAAATGTACTTTTTGGGACAGCTTTATCGCAGGAACTTCCGTCCTAGACTTTTCCTTAAGAGTCGCAGAGACGAAACCACAGTCGGTGCTGTATCACTTACTTGGATCACCAGGATCCGGTTTCAGACAGCAAAAAATCCCCATAAACTCAGAATAGGCATTCCTCGCAATAAAGGCCCAATTCCTCGTTTGGTCTTACTATAATAAGCTTCCTCTATTGAAAAGAAGCTACAAGCAAACAGACCAGAGGCATACCTCATACTGCCTCATGCAAAGTACTACCGCCAATAGGAACATTTTATGTTATGGAGGAGAGATCTGTTCCTGGCTGGGAGTTGATTAGATCGTAATGAGATCGGGGGATCCAAACCAATAACTTAAACTTTACGCCGCATCTGAATACATATGTACATATATATATGCAAGCCCTTTCCTAGCTTAGTATTCTACATTTTGTTCCTGTGAAATATCTAACCTAGTCGTTGGCTTCACGACGACAATGCCTCCAGATAATCATTGATGCCTAAATTGATCTTAGCTTCTTGAGGGGTATCCGTAGATAAGAAACAGAAGTGGGCATCCCGAATCTGATATCGGAGGTCGAGGCTCCGTTAAATCTAGAACACGGAGCTTAAGCGGCGCGGTAACGGCCCCGTTGAGACCGAGGACCAGGTTGGGAATGGATGCACGTGTGAGAAGCTTTTGGGTGGTAGTTTAAACGCAATTGAGTTATGGAGCACAGCCAAACAAACTAATCCTGATTCTAACAAACACATGTGAATACTACTCAGAGCCGAGGGGAAGTAAATGGAAAGGGTCGGTTTCGCATTTAGGTGCTGTACCTAGCTTCGAGTTAACTATCAGGAACTTGGCTCTTTCAGATGCAGTACCGAGGTACTAGAACCCAAGGACGTGCTCACTGAGTTATTCTTTGATAGCAATAGTATTTCAAAGCCAAGAATACAGATCATATCTGCATATAGTAGTGAATAGACATGTACGGAGTACTCACAATCAATATCAATCCGCCACGAGTTCATTAATGAGCCTTTTAAACTTGCCCTGCAGGAATGCAACGGGAAGACCCTGCGATGATGCTAAAGTTAGCACCAGGGGCATACGCTAGACTCCATAGAGCCCCTGAGGTTACCTCATTTTGGCCAACCAATGCCACTAAGATGTGGTCTCTCCTGGTCAGGCCGGTGGAGGGCAGGCTCCTTCCTCTGCTACCTAGCTCTCACTTTGAGACTGTCCTTTCTTGTCTTTGTCCCCCGACACCCTATAACGTTCGCTATCTTGTTTGTCTTCTCCATCTGCATCTCTTTTGCGTCGTTTTCTTGTCAGAGTTTGACTTATTTGCTTTCTTCTTTTGGCTAACCTGACACAAAGAAGGAGGCACAAGAAAGCCAGTTCAAGCTGGTGTGGTACCAAACGGAATGCTGCTGCGCTCAGTACCGTAGGCGACACCACAGTCTTGGACGACATAGATCAAGCGACCCCTCTAGCGAAACATCGCGTCACTTTATAGCAGGGCGCAGATCAAATCGAATATTCTATCCAAGCCTTAATCGACACCCCAAAAGCCTCGCCTCGGCGAGCAACGATCCGTCGCAATGCTTCCACTTCGTCGCCGTGGACGATTTTATGCCATAGTCGCTGTGGTTATGGTCTTCCTGCTGTATCGATTCATGCAAAATTCATGGTCACAGGCTCCTCACTTCGAAACGGTGAAGCAACCGAGCCAGCCAGCTTCTGACCCAGTACAGGGCTCCAAAGAAGCCTTTGAACCGCCTGTCGTACCGCCACCCGTCCAGCTTCCCGATTCCGAGCAGGATTCCAACACTGCCAATAAACCCAAACCAGCTGCACCCCAAGATGGACCAACTTTGCCGGAGAATGCTGCAGAGAAAGTCGACACACCGGCAGAAGAGAAGCCTGCCGTCGATAAACCTATCTCTGTTGGGGACGCTGCGCTGCCAGACGACAAGAAGGAAGAGCACAAGCAGCCGGCCGAGCAAAGCGCACCACATATTCCCGATGTTCACTTCAAGGACCCTCCTAAGCAGGCCGACAACCCTGATATTCCTGATGTCAACGTTGATGGATCCAAAGTTCACTGGACCAAGCCCAAGGAGAACTTCCCTATTCCCCCTGAGTCAATCAGACCAGTCCCAACCGGCACAGCTCCCAGTATCAACAGAATCCAGTTCGACTTCCAACCTGAAGACGTACAGACAAGTACCACTCGGTTGGATCGGCTGAAACGTGTCAAGGCAGAGATTGAACGGGCCTGGACTGGTTATCGCAAATTTGCATTCCCACATGATGAACTCAAGCCTGCTTCTATGAAGTATCGCGACACTTTTTGTGGCTGGGGCGCGACACTCATCGATTCGCTTGATACTCTTTGGATCGCTGGTATGAAGGAGGAGTTTGATGAAGCCGCCAAGGCTGTCGCCAATGTCGACTTCACTTACTCCGAACGTAACGACATTCCCGTTTTTGAAACTACCATTCGTTACTTGGGTGGCCTTATCGCTGCGTACGATGTTAGTGGTGGATCCTCTGGCCAGTATAAGATTCTGCTGGATAAGGCCGTCGAACTTGCGGAGATCCTGATGGGCGTTTTTGATACGCCTAACCGCATGCCCCTATTATATTATCGATGGCATGAGCCTTATGCTTCGCAACCCCACCGAGCGAGCACTGTTGGAATCGCCGAGCTTGGAACTCTGTCTATGGAGTTCACTCGCCTCGCTCAATTGACGGGTACCAACAAATACTATGATGCTGTTGACCGTATCACCGACGCCTTGATTGAGATGCAGGCAGCGGGTACTGATATTCCAGGACTTTTCCCCGAACGCATCGATGCCTCTGGATGTAATAGGACCGCTACCACTCGGACTGAAAGCCTCAGCCAAGAGGCCCGGGAGCAAGTCAATTCTGCCGACCTGACTAGGGAACCCGAAGGATTTGATCCCACGAAACTGGGCGGAGATGTAGCCTCTCCCGCACAGCTCCCTCAGGCTGATAGTCGTTGGGAGGATAAGCTCCAACGGCGCAATGTTCCTGTAGATACCGATGAGGCAACTAAAGCGGGTGATCAGACACCGGCTCGATCTGGGCCTCAACAGGCGCCCCCTCTTGCTGCAGATGGATCTTCGGCGGACTGGGATTGCAAGCCTCAGGGTCTTGTTTCCAGTAGCCCTAACTACGGACATTACCACATGGGAGGTGCCCAAGATTCAGCCTACGAGTATTTCCCCAAGGTATGTTGCTCCGTCATCATTCTTCATGATAATTTTGTCTGACGTAAAATTAGCAATACTTGCTCTTGAATGGTCTGGAACCCAAGTATCGCCCGCTCTACGAGAACACCATCGACGCGATTAATGAATGGCTGCTTTATCGACCTATGATTAAAGACGACGGCTGGGATGTGTTCTTCACAGGAAAGTTGACGACTTCTAGCCGGGGTGACTCAGAATGGTTAAAGACCTACGACATGGCTCATCTCGCATGCTTCGTTGGAGGCATGTATGGACTAGGCGGTAAGATCTTTGGTCGTGATGGAGATATCGACAAGGCAAAAAAGCTCACTGATGGTTGCGTGTGGGCATACCAGTCAACGGTTACTGGTATAATGCCTGAATATGCTCACCTGGTCGCCTGCCCTGCCCTGGAAAAGTGTGCTTTCAGTGAAGAGAGTTGGTATGAGGATCTCGACCCTAACAGAGAATGGCGCGATAGTGAGTTTCGGAAATGGTCAGACGGCGAGGCCCAGAGGAAGCTCGCAGAAGGAGCTGCTCCCGCCGCCGCCCAACAAAACAAGCCCGATGATTCAAGCAAGGGACCGGAGCCTGTCGTTAATCCGCCAAAGGTGGTCAAGCGGGCAGGAATACCGATGCCTGAGCTGGATAGGAGTATGGAAGAGGACGACTCGGAGTTTGGATCAACGCTCCCCGATTCGCTTAAGCAGAAAATTGGGCTGAACAAGGACGGGCCTGAAAAGACGGAAGCAGTAAAGGCAGATTTGAGCAAGACTGATTCGGAGAAAGCCAAACCTGCGCCAGTCGAGCTAGAAAACAAACCCGCTGCTGTCCAAGATACAACGGAAAACACCATAGCGCCGAAGCCTGTCACCGTAGACAGCTTTGATGCCGTCAGAAACGCAGAACAAGTTGCTGGTTCTGATGATATACCTCTGGAGAGGCCCGTGACGCACGAGGAGTACGTCAAGTCGAGGATTCAAAGAGAAAAGTTACCTCCAGGCTACACCGATATAATAAATCGGAATTACATCCTTCGGTAAGTTTGCATTTGTAATGCTTTTATTGTCTCTCCTAACATAAAGTTACAGACCTGAGGCGATTGAATCCGTTTGGTACATGTATCGCATTACTGGCGATACTACCTGGATGGACAAGGGTTGGAAGATGTTCCAGGCTACAATTGCTGCTACTCGCACCGAATTCGCCAACAGCGCCATCGAAGATGTGATGGGTACAGAGAATAATCTCAAGGACGAGATGGAGAGCTTCTGGATTTCTGAGACTCTAAAGTACTACTATCTTCTCTTTTCAGAGCCTAACATCATAAGCCTTGACGAATGGGTTCTCAACACGGAAGCACATCCTTTCAAGAGGTCAACATGAACGTAATTTCAGCGCGTGTTTACAAGTCAGTATACCGAGAGCTTGCTCAAAGGACGTTGAAGTTTTGAAAAGGAGGAAGAAGGGTGGCAAAGCTATTTCATTATCGGGCAAGTCGAAGTCATGACAAAGGCGTTTTTTGGAGACTGGTCAGGATAGTGTATGATTATAAGGCGCTAGTCATCTGAGGATATATCAATGTACATACATATTTCATCTGCAGCCGGGGTATCTCCTGAGCGTTTCGTGGTCTAGAGTGAGGCCACGCACTTTGTTCCATCCTCGTCACCTAGTCTCTTAACCTTTAGCTGCATCCCATTGGACTGAGATAGGCTGGTGGTTGCCAGAGAACTTCGTCCCCCCAAACCAGAGCTCAAATCTCAGGTCTGCTGGAGCAACAATAACTCGGATATCGAACCTACAAATGTAGAACTTGTGTCCACGCCGGAAACAAGTTCCTCGCTTTTCTTTGAGGACGAGCTGGTGTTGTTCGATGCCAGCGAGGTTGCTCTTTACAGAACAAAGTCTCATAACGCCGGCTTGTTTTAGGCTTCGAGGAAGCCATTCGGCCTCGTTATTTGACACTACAATTTCTGCGTCCCATGCGCGTGTAGTGTCTCCATCTTTCAACCTGATTTCGAATCGTTTGACCAACGGAGAGTCCGGGTCCACGGTGTCTCCCTGTGGGCTTTTGTCAACCCAGTCTGTGGGCAAAAAGAACGGCCTGAAGCATACCTTTTTGATCAACCATTGGATCTGATTAGTTGCCCACTTCACACTAGGGTCCCATGGATCTTGTCGGACTTCTTCATCGAAGTGCCGTGCAGGCATGTAGACCTCCTGAACGATTACGCCGTAGCTCGCTCGAGCAATCCAAGTGCTGAGCACGGATTTATTCCCCGACTCCATCCTCTGCCGCTTGTTCTCGAGAACTCCACGAGCGACAACAAGTTGCGGGTCTTGGGAGGGTATAACAAGGATATTGCGGGCATTTGGATGTTGCAGCTTGGTCAAGTGTTCTTGGAGAACCTCGCGGACATAGGCTGAACTACCCAGCCCACCGGACAGAATCACATACCCCTGTATACGCAATGAGCTTCGGTCGAGCTTCAAATCGGAGCGCCTTACCACTTGTTTTGAAGGGCCTTTTTCGGTCAACCAGTCTAGCCGCTTGTGAATCCGGGCCATGATTGCTTCGATATGGACATCAAAGAGGGCTTGAATGTCTTGCCTGCAGCGGATCAAACATACTTGGTAAGTCGACATGGAGAATAGGTTTTAGTAGTGGGACAGTAACTGACTTGGTAAAAAGCATGCGTCCATCTTGAACTCCGAGGCCTTCGTGGCTCACATCGTATCCTACACCCTCCATCATAATTTTGTATACTGGTTGCATGTATACCTTTTCGCCAAACTTGTGCTTGACGCTCTTAAATCCTTGGCTTCGAGCCATGCGTGCTGCAAAATCAGCCGGAAGCTTGAAATCGGGATTCGCGGCCATTCTTTGTGAGACAAGTCTTGCGAAAGCGCGATCAATAAGTGAGGAGCCAACACCGACACCGCTGACGGCAGCCACTTGAGAAAGCTGTGGAAAGCTCGAGTTTGTGGAAGTGGCTCGCATCAGAGCGAGGTCTGTTGTGCCACCTCCTGCATCCACGGTCAGAAACACGCTGTTTTCCTTGAGGCTTATAGCTCCAGTCTTGAGAGTTGCCACGGCTGCAGCCTCGGACTCTGTGAGATCAACCAATGCTGAGTGTTTTGGGCCTCCAGTTCCGAATCCAGCATCATGGATTGCGCCCTTGAAGGTGTTGATGATAGCCATACTCGTCCATGTCGTGGGCGCACTGAAGAGGAATAGGACGGCCATGGAGTCCCATCCACCGACATGTTTTATGCCCATGCGCATTTCTATGCTATCTTTGATATGTGCATATATCTGCTTCAGATAATCTGTCACGAATTGGCGAGCCTGGGCAGTGCTTTGCGGGACATTGCTTAGGCCCTGATGCTGTGCTGCGTCGAGGGTCTCTGGATCCAGAAAGATCTTGAAGAAGTCCCGACGTGTCTTGCTCGTATCGTGGTCATCGTCAGCACACATGAACCCCCAAGACGAGATGCTTCCATCGGCGTTGTATACGATTGTCGTGGGGACTTTTCGATCACCTCTGTCGTCGCTCCCCGGCCAGTCGTTGACTACCTGAATAGGGATTCCATGCCTCATCCAGGCAACACCTCGAACAAATCAGTTTATATCTGGTATTTGCGGGACCGCTACTCACCCGTAAAGGTCGTACCAAGGTCCACAGAGATAGCCAAGTCCGGTTGCTCTTCCATTTGTTAGTCTGCTCGGTTTCTCTACAGAAGCAATTGAGGAAGAATCAAAGGATAATCTGAGAGCCTTGTTGCCAGAAGTGCGACAAGCCTCGGAAGGGGCCCATGCTGCAGACCCATTTTCAGCCGTCGGAGCTGGACTTGGCGATATTGGTTTGTTGGAAGCACCTCCGAGGGTGTGCGGGACAATATGCAACAGGTCGGCTGGGAAATGACAGACCAGGCCTTCGGCCTCAGCCTGATAATGAAACATGCATCTCAATGCTCCCCTGTGCTGAGTGGCTTGACAAGGGATGCTGCTAGCTGGACCTCGATGGAGAGGAGAGGAACTTAGTGGTGGCAATCAAATGGCAGTAGGGTTGGAATACTGAGCCTTTGCTGGCGGTCAAAAGCAACGCCTGCCCTGGAAGCTTTCGAGACTTTTGTATTCTCATTCTTTTCCTTACTACTGCTCTGAAAGCTTTCAGCAGCGTCTGCCCTGTCTCCTGGGTTTCCTGCCTTTACGAATTTCTATCTCTAACCTACGAAGATGGCTTCCGCGACTCTAGAAACCCTATTGCTAGGAGAGACCGTCGTGACAGCCCCTGCAGTCTTGACGCTCCTCAACACTACTTCGTCCACCATTGTCCAACAAGACATTGATGCATCTGGTGGAAGCCTAAAAGTCACCAACGTGATTGTACAGTCTGCAGCGCAAACGGCGCCAACAGCAGCTAGCACGGGGTCTTTAGAGACAAATCCAGCAAGCCAAGAAGAAACCTCATCCAGCGCGTCATCTACAGACCGGAATGATCAAAAGCCAACTGACCAGGGAGACTCATCGGAAAGATCGTCGGATGGACTCAAAGGCGGCCCTGTCGCTGGAGTTGCCATCGGCTGCCTCGTTGCTGGCCTTGCTCTGGGACTCATAGCAGCCTTTCTACTTCTGCGGAGACGGCGGAGAGTCAAACCAGCAAAAGAAGGATTCGTCTTAGCAGATCAAAAATATACGGAACCCAAGGATGGGCCACAGGTCATAGTTTCATCGTCGAGGCACGATGCTGAACTCAGCCAGTTTCTTCTCGAGGCAACTCCCGACAAGGACCTCCAAGCAGAGTTGCGCTCACTCTCCGAACTCATTTACCAACATGTCGAGAACTATTACCGTCGACCCCAAGTCCAGGCCGACCCGGCTGAGGTGGCTCAGAGCCTCATCAATATTGGCTACTCACCAGAAGCGTCAGGACTGCAGGCAGACACAGTTGCTGCCATTTGCCTCAGCCCCAAGACGCCTCAAGTTGGACTTCGTCATGTCCTCTCGCATGTTATCTTCCGGAGCCTCGATTTCAATTCTGGCAGCAGCTTGTCCATGCTTCCACTAGCGGTTGCAACACTGGCGCAAAGAAGCCACTCAGCTGAAAATGCAAACAACCCTGGTAAGACACTCCCACATTAACTCAGAGCCTGATTAGAGAAATGGCTAATAAAGCTTTCAGCAATTGTCTTGGCGCGTTCCAGGTGGCGCACACTCTCTGCTCTGCTTCTCCATCCTAACCCGGATGAGAGAACACCACTCCCGGTGTCAGTGACAGAATCTTCCCCTATGGCTCTATCTCTTGCGAATGAGCTTAATCAATTCTTGGAGATGTTTGTTGCAAAGGACCCGGCTAGCCAACAGGATCAGATGAACCATCTGCAGGCTGTCATTCTCGAGTGTACCAAACTGGGCTATGTCGTTCTTTCACAGCCGAGTGACTTGAGGTTCGTTTTTAGCAACAGTACACCCATTACAAAAAGCCGCAGGATCGTGGTGTGTCCTGGTTTGGAAAGGCTGAGCCAAAACGATGGAACGAGGTATAGATCACCCAAGGAGGTGGTAGCACCGGAAACTGTGAGTTTGTGAGGGAGGGGAAGCCCATGGACTGCAACCTTTTGGTCATTGAGTTTCGTTGATTGGATGATTGGATTTGACGAGCTGCATAAGGCTCGATATGTGGTCCTTGATTGCACAACTTGTTAGAATTATAGCCTTGTTCAATAATGAGTGTGTTTATGACGGAGTGAACTTACAAGAGACTGACAGTCAGTTCTCATCCATGAACAAACAAAATATCTTGGTTTATATGCCATGACTCGAGTGAGTAAAATCGCCTGGTTAGTATGTGAATGTGTACTTTTCTTTGTGAGACATGTCGACGGCTGTCTACATGCGCTTGAACCAAATTTGTAACCAAGACCACAACACTGTAATCTGTGATATTCACCCACCGGATTGCATCCGACTATTGACCTGTCTTGCTTGCTTGGGCGTGAGTGGCTGAGAGCTGAGTCTTTTCTCAGAGCCTGCTTCTAGATATGCAAGCCGATTGCCTCAATATCACATTTGGCGTCAGCTCTGAACATGGGTCTTAGCAATATGATAGTGAATGGATACTGTGCAAATCAGAAATAGACTTGCTTCACAGCCTGATTTTGTCTTCTCTTTTCTTGTCTGAGCGGGGAAGACTAATGTGAGGATTGTTGTCTCGCATCTTTCATCACCTGCAGCTTAACATGGATTAATCAATACCTCGACCATCACTCACTTATCGCTCTTCTCACTGAAATCATCAGATGACTTTACTATATGAGACTATTCACCTCTAAGAACCAGTATTTCTGTCCTAAATCATCATGCCCAACCCCCTCAAGGCAATACATTCAAGTTTCAACCTCTTGACCTGGGCGCTGGACCACGACCAGGTCCCAAATGATATCCGCCACAGTCTCGAGCTCGTTCGAACATGCGACTCAGATCTTCAGCATCTCATAGAACTACGTCAAGAATGTCTCCATCTTCTTCAGCGCCGCCCAAAGGTTCTTGACCGTGTACACAACATTATCGAGTCAGCTCAGAGAGGACTCCAAGAAGTCTGCGAGATTGTCGAGAGATGTCGACCAGAGACCGACAGAGGTGGAAAGACTAAATTTTCGAAACGCATGGCATGGGTGCTTGTAGAGGCGAGCGAGTTCAAGAGCCAGGAGCCTATTGTTAGTCGACATCATGCTGCTGTGCTCGCTGAGTTGAACTTTTTGAGACAGATAGCTCTTTTGGCTCCTGTTCCTGAAACCGTAAGAGCCGAGGACAAGTGTGGTGTAAGAGAAGAAGCCGCAGTGTTTGATAATGTCGCGTTGCTGGGGGATCTTCTTGGTGATGTAACGGGCAAGTTGAATATCTCATACATCTTCATCGATACAATGAACTAACAGTATGTTTTACTTTAGCTCACATCAAGAAGCCACCAGTTGTCCAGTCTGTTGATCCTCCAAATCCAACGATAGTTTTCAATACAAACGCAGAATCGGCAACATCGACGACGCCATCTTCGCTCCAGATACCTCAGTCTCTTCATCGATCAACGAGTTCGCAGACGATGCATATGGAGCATGCGCCTGAATCACTGCCGGAACTTGTTCCAGTCAACATGAACAGCACAGCTCTACCTAAACCTTTCACTTCGAGTGCCACTTACGATAGTGAGGCCCTCGCAGGTTTGAGTCTGCTTCTAGGAGACCCCTTAGACTGGAGACACTCACCACCTCTGGCACCAGCAAACAATGGCCCATTGAGTCGACCAGTGACGGCTCCATCTCAAAGACGGCCTGCACACTTCATTCATAATGGTTCTGTTCAAAATATTGCACTTCATAGCTATGATAGTGTCTCTGATCCGAGCCAAACTAGCCAGCGAGCAAGCCTCAACTACACTCCTTCACGTCTATCATCAAACATCTCAACCCCTTATCATCAGCAACATTCACTTTCGATACCCCCAGCAGCCACAAGATCAGCGTCTCAGCTCCACCATATGCCGTCTGGTCACTATCCAGGGCAACTCACGTGGCCAAATTCGTCTTCTACGACAATATCATCCATCTCCTCTGGTTTAACAAGACCTGACTACAGCTACATACCGCCGATTGCTGAGCTTGATAGTTCTCCACACCATATGGTTCCCATTGTTGGTGCGTTGAACCATCTAAGTCGACCAAACGAGGTGTCAGTGGACCAGAAACTCGCCATCCAAATCAACACAACACCTGTCGAACTTCCAGCAGAGGATAGCCTACCCACAAACATGAACCCATATTCTCAAACTTTCCGTCCGGGGCTTGACAGAAGGGGGCGAGCCATCAGTCAACCAACAACAACACTACACCAGCAAATAACGCGGAAACCAACTCTTAGCCAGGGAAAGGAAGTGATGAAGGATTATAATAATGTACCAAAAGACTTTGCAACGTGGTAGCCGAGTTTCTGGGCATAAGCATGCAAAGATATCGGGGATAGACTTTAAGGGTTATTGACAGCATGTTCAATAGATACGTTACTATGACAAGTGATTTTGAAGCAACTGAGAAACGACTGTTCAAGTATTACCAAAACTCGAAGCATTTCATCCCAGATATATATATACATATATATATACAGACCGACTGCTAAGTGCTGCATCCGAGTTTGTAAGGGATTTACTCTGTATAAAGGGTTTAGTCAAATTGGATTACATGCAAAATGTCTTCCTGGCTCGACAGTGTTTGATAACAAGCAAGATATTGGCAACTCAATTTATTGTCTTGATGACCCTTGGTGAAGAAGGGGGCCATTACTACCTATTAGAAGCACAACCATATCCCTTTATTTTCATCCCTCAAATCCTGCCCGTTCGAGGTATCGCAACCCTTAAAATCATTCTCTCACACGCAAGTTCAATCTATAATAAGAAGCATAGGAAGTGATCAGCACTGCAAACAAAGATCAAAATCAGACCCAAATCCTTAATTTCGCAAACGCGCGACAATAAATTGCCTTGATAATACATGTCGATAATCAATTCCCATTCCTCCTCACACGTCAAGACATATATCCCGTATTCCCATACCACATCCCATTCGTGGTCTCAAAAATCGTATCTTGTAGTGCATCCATCCCACGCGGTCTCTCACCTTGAGAGATCGGTCTTCTGTGTGGTCCCTCAGTCTATATGCAAAAAAGATGGGCGTTCCTCGTTTCGCTTCATCGTTCCAGCTCATGGTCGTGTCGAGTTTCGGTCGAGGAGCCTCTGTTTTCAGTGGCCATCGTATCGATTATCCGATATCTCGTCACTTCATGAGTCAGGCTATGTCGTGAATAGAATAAAGCGTTGCGGTACGGTGTTACTGTGCCGTCCCATGTCGAGGCTGAAAGACCGAAATTATAACCGATCGCTCAACGTTTTTAATAAACAAAATCATTTCCGTAACTCCGATGCTGATGCCCTTTACCGTCTTTGATCTTACCATCCTCGTGTCGATGATTATAGTCGACATATGTACATTTATTCGACAACTTTAGTCCTCAATAGTTCGCGATGACTCAGGTGAATTCGAGGTGTTCTATACCATCGAACTGAGAACGCTTATACTGAGGATCATAATGAGTAGACCAATAGTAACGACTATTAGTAGGGCGAATGAGAACCAACCCAATACCATGGCGCTGGTACCCACACCACTCTTGACAGCTCCGTTTCCGAAATCCTGGGCTATAACCGAGGCGGCTACGGACGCTGTATGTTGCCATAGCACAGATACAAGGACGAAGATGGCTGAGATGAAGATCAGGGCAAGGGCAATTTGAGAGACGGGACGAGACGGGAAAGGCTTGACTTCGCGATCAGAGCCTTCTGAATCAGTCTCCTCGTGCCACCCAGGGAAAGTCGCGAGAAGGAGGAGGCAGACGAAAGCAAAGATGATGGCGATGATACTGAGAATCAGGTCAGTGCGGTTCCATTTCGGTGCACGCGGAGTGAGAACTCACATGAGATATGGGAATACAATCATATCTTTAAATTGAGCAGCCAGCCAGATGAGGTTGAGAGGATCTTGGTCCACATCAACCTCCTTAGCCAGTGCAGTGGCATTGTTGCTGCACAGCCAGGAACCACCGTCGGGGTTAATGCAGATACCGAAGTAACCAACGCGAGCTTGCAATGAAGCGTCACCTGCGATGTTCTCGATAGCTGAGTGGAGATTGTAGTCGACCTGGGCTGTATCGGGCACTGCTGTGTAGTCCTTGTAGTAGATAGATAGTAGGAAGATGTCGGGGATAAGTGGTGAGGAAGATGAACAGCCAGCGAGAAGCAGTGCTTATTTTGGTTAGAATATTATCTCATCTATGGATGGGGTAAAATAGCTCACATAATAGAATAATGGCGATGGCGATAAGGATCATCAACACATGGTGATAACCGAGGAATGGAACGAAGCCTAGCGGAATTGGATGTTAGCGATGCGGACCATATCAGATGAGACATTGGATCGATGTCCCGAGACTAGACAATGACTTACGATACCAGCCGACCTGGACTTTTTGCCTTCTAGAGGACGAGCTGCTGCTGCTGCTCGTCCCGGAACCCATCGTGAATGATGTTGATCCTGCACTCCTTCAACTTGCTGTCGGTTGAAGTTGTTGCGGGAAACAACTGAGTTGTCTGCGCTCGTCCCCCAGTGAGGGAGCGACGAACACGAGTTTCTCAAGACCAATATCACTTGGTTTCCTTGCTCTTTCTGTTACCGCTTGGTTGCGTAACACTCTGGAAGCGATCCTGTGACCGACCCTGAACTTCCTCCACTGGACTTGATCAGTCAATCTGTCTCGGGAACAACTGGTTCTTGTCGAGGTGAAGGTGAAGAAGCGATGGAATGCGGACGGGAGAAATCGATGTCTCGGTAGACAATCGACACTGGAATGTATGTGGGCTAAAGACGACGGTTGGTGACAACGAGCGAAAGTCGGGCCCTGTAATAGTGAGATCTTTGTTAAAGGAGGTTAAGTTAAGAAGTCAAGTCAAGTTGAGAGTTGGCCACGATGAATCAAGAGCCTTGAAGATCAGTTCACACGTTCTGCTAACGAGGGTGAAGACTTAATGGTTTTGTTAGAGAATCTCCTGGGAAAAGGAGAGAAGGAAAGGAGAGAAGCGGTCAGTCAGTCAACTAGTCGGAGCAGTTTCGTATACCAATACCAGACAATTGGGCGGATATTCGATGGCTGGGAAAGACTTGGGATAACTACCAACCTCTGGACTTTTTCGGTGGGCGATGCAGAGGTGTAGTGACCAACCACCTATTTACTCGCGTTGGCCTGGCGACGGTGACGTTTTACATGTGGAGCCACAGTTGCCAGCTGGGCGAGCTTTGGACAAGGCAGGGGCCTGAGGGGCTCCTTTCAGCACCGGGCAACCCGCTAACCGGCGCCGCAGAGGGAAGGAGAAAGCCTAGACGGGATCGGGCGCTAGTCTGTAAGAGGCAAGGTGTTATTGGACCTGCAGCAGCGCAGATGAGCAACTTCCTGGGCTTGATCCCTGAACCCTAGGATCTACGATCTTACGTAGCGCTTCGCCGCAAAGTCGACGCGTTTCTATACGACCAGAGCCCGTCAGCGCCCAGAGTTTGCCAAGGGGTGCCAAGGATAGAAGCTATAGCGGGACCTCTCTCAGCTTGATGCAGTTGTCATGACGATTTGGCGCCGTTTCGAATGGGCTCTCACTCATCCGTCCTACCGACGAGTCCATATTATACCAAGTGTATTACGGAGTATTGGTTCTGCCTGGACTGGCTACTGACGTCGATAGCTCCAGTTGACGAGTTGCTAAATGACGAGTTGTTGAACTACACCAGTATTGGTGCTATTTGGCGCCTTGATCTATCGTGCTCGGGCATATTCTGTAGCTGAGATCCATCTCCCTCGGTTATCCTATTCATAACCTGGTCTCAGTTCATCTGACCCATTTGCCCCGAGTAAGCGAGACCTGGCTTGAAACTCCCCGACTTTTGGTCATGGAGACTTTTCTCCCAAACTCGACCTAATAATAAGTCATGGATATTATTATCCACTCTGTTGGAGCCAACAACGGTATCCGCGGCCAAACCGTACTCGGTGTAGACGGACACTCAAGGATCACTCAATTATGGCGAAAACTACAACGCAAGTTTTGTATCAAGACAGCACCACTCTGAGGAAACATATGTTGTTATTATATAGGATTAGTTTTGATTACTTCCACTACAACACAGCTTGCCATCTATTCGCATGTTATTCAATGTTTACTTTAGGCTGCGCGGTTCAATCGGAATCACATGAACTGCATAACTGTTTACTCAATTGTCTGACGACGACACCTCTCTCAGTACCACAAGATCAACATGATATGTAAACTCTTTCCGTCGTAACCGTGAGCTTATTCTCCCGAGAGAGCCGTGATATCCATCATGACAACCCTCATCTCATGAGAACCCAGCCACCCGACTAAAACTCTCCAGACTTGGCGTTCAGCCACCCGCCAATTTCAGATCCTTTTCACTTACCGCAATTGACTTCAATTACGACTCTCTTCGAATGAAATCGGTGTCGGACGTTTCGAATTATTCTTTCTCCGCTCGGAATATTCTTTACACTCCGCGCTTATCATGTCATGCGAGTTCATCTCATGGAGCTTCCAGAAACACTTGTATCTAGAAGAAGTATGTAGCTATCGGATTTAGTGGGGCATGCTCCCCACGTCATTTGGTCAGAGTAGCTACGTTGCGCTATGAGACTCACAAACATCAACTCATAACTACTATATACAACATGGCAGCTGTAGCCGCCAACAACCAAGGAATATCGCTCGATATTCGAGTTGAGGACTTCCTGGACGATAAGCTTCAGTCTACTTCCGATCTCGAGGATCTCGACACACTTATCGCAAATGTTGAGCTTCAACGAAACCAGCTGCAATCACAGTTAGATACAGCTGTGAAAGAGCTCGAAGAGACCCGACGCACTGCCGATGATCGCCAGGGGTCACTTGCTGCTCGCATAGAAGAGTTTCAAAAGCTTCAAGAGAGCATTGATCTTCGTGCTCAGATCTATGCTGCCTCGGATGCCCCAGATCAGGCCATCGAACGCCTAAAAGCGCCCATGAACAAGATCAAGGCCGTTGAGCGTGCCCAGAGCTACCTTGTCCTCTTGCAAGACGCTGAAAAATTTCGAGCAGAGGCGAGATCATTCCTGCCTCAGAACCCCAAAGCTTCATTGGAGCCTTATATCAAGTTGAAACAGCATATTCAAAAGTTACAAGGCCTACCTGGCCAAGAGGGCCTTCACCTCGTTGCGTATGCCGAAGCCTTGACCGCTTCACTTTGGGATGAGATCAAATCTACTATGTCTGGGGAGCTTGAGGCCGTCTTGAAGCAGAGGAAGTGGCCCAAGATTGACACCCATTTACAGATGGACGAGGAATGGATTAATTGCATCGAAAAGCTCATCGATCTACAAAAGCCGGAAATAGCACACACTGACACGCTTGTCACGTTGCTACCGTTTGAAATCATGGCCTCCATCTTTGTCTCCGAGTTTCGTTTCCATTTCCTCAGCGACAAGCCAACTAGCGGTGCCCAGGCATTTGGAACTCATTGTCTCCCATGGTTTATCGCACTGGTCGAGAAATGGGAAGATTTCTTCCGGGATAATCTGGGCTATTTACTAGCAGAGAAGTTCCGGGACACTGCTGTAGCGACCAACTTGGCTTATATCGACCCTGTTTCTGCCTTTATTACCTCGCTCCTCCCAGTGCTGAAGGAGAAAACCTCATTAGTTGCACTCGAAGCTATCAAGAGCCCCTCCTTTCTCAGCAGTTTAATGTCGCAACTCATGGCATTTGACGAGAATGTTCGCTACAAGTTTAACTACGACGGCGGCGATGTTGAGAACGGATGGTCTGGCTTGACCGCACATATACTGGATGACCATTTTGATACGTGGTTCAAGGCCGAGAAAGATTTCGCTCTTGAGAGATATAATACTATTATGGAGTCACAAGATGCCCGCAATATCGATTATGATTATGCGCTCCAGGGCAAGATGAAGCCAACATATGCTGCTGTGCGTGTCACTGATCTTCTGCGGTCTGTGACAAGTCAGTACGAGAGAGTGCGTACCTTTAAGCACAAAATTCGCTTCTTGATCGGCATTCAACTTGAAATTTTGGATGCTTATCACGACCGCCTTCGAGACTCACTCCAGGCTTATCAGAGCATGTCTACGACCTTTGGCCGCACTCTGGCTGCGAATAAGGAGGACCTTGCTATTCTAGAGGGTACAGGTGGTTTCGAGGTACTCTGTAAAGTGATTGGCAGCGCTGATCATATTGTCAATACTTTGAAAGATTGGAGCAACGAGGAGGTATGTAAGCTGCCTGAAAGTCATCTCATCAAGCTAACCTCATAGTTCTTTGTCTCTTTGTGGGATGAACTTCAGACTCGAGCATTGCACAGATCTAGCCAGGGCAACAATATTACGAGTACCATGAGCTACGATGATGTGAAGGATCGCACATCTACGGCAGTGGGAGAAAAACATGAAGATGGGGCTCTATTTGATGAGACAGCGAGTGCCTATAGCATGCGACGCAAGGCTTCTCAAGAACTTCTCGTTGGCGCTTTGGTCGAGTCGCACAATAAAGCCTTCCGAGCATACACCACCCGTGTTCAGTGGACAACTGTTGGTGAAACTGCTATCCTTGGTAAGTTCGCATGCCGTGCTGTTCCCAACATATTAGCTAACACGGTAGCAGATGAGCTTGCTATTACGCCAGAACTTGATGAGCCACTTCGCATCCTCCAGCGCAACTTTGACTTTCTCATCGGAGCTCTTTCGACTGCAGTGTTCCGCCGCGTCTGCCGGGAAGCCCTTGTCAAGCTTCAAGATTATCTATGGCAAAGTGTCCTTATGCGCCAGTCGTTCACCACTTACGGTGCAGCCCAGTTCCGTCGCGATGGCGCTGCCTTGGTTTCAACTATCGAACGCTACATCCCTAATGGTTCATCTGTCCTTGATAACTTGACCGAGGGTATGCAGCTCCTGAGTCTTCCGGTTGAAGCGGGCGAGACGAGTGGCTTGACCCTCAAGGAAGCCAGCGATCGAGTCTTCACTGACAACGAAGAGGCGCGCAAGGTACTAGAGGAACTCCATCTTGAAGGGTTGTCACCGCAAGGTGCAAGAAACATTCTGCAGCGTCGTGTAGAGAACAACGAGAACGTAGGGTGGTAAAACGAAATAGACTAAAATTGGGTATATTATCACGCATTCGATGCCTTTTTCCAAGGTCTATCTCTCATGCCTCACGTGTTGAATCTGTCCGTGGCCTTCTAAAATATCATTCCCTTTTTGTTCTAACCATTGAGCCCCCCAATACGTTTTTATTGCATCAAAAGATCATCCATTTTCCATTTTCCGCACTGTTCGCTTTTGTTTAGCTGTTGAGAGCTCGCATAGTCATCTCGACAACAATGAAAGTTCCCGCGCTCACAGGCATAGCTCGTGCCAGCGTAGGTCCAATTCCCTTCCAGAAACCAGCCGCTCCCTCAGCTCGCCAAGTCTTTGAAAAGCAATCTCGCATGGTGGCGTATTTTTGGTTGGCACCGAAACCGTCGGTCTGCATCTTGCTCTTGATAACATCGAAGGGGTAGCTGGAAAGCCAGAGAACTTCACCGGCAAGACCACCGTAAAGAGCAATCTTGTAAGCGGGGATATCCTTGCGGTCGATCTTGTTGCGGGCAGCGTCGGAGTTCATCATGTACTCAAAGGCAGTGAACCAGGAACCGTAGGCGAAAGCCTCTCGCCAGATGGTGACAGCCTGACCGCGGTAGATGCCACTCAGGACACCATTGTGAGCTCCGAGTTTACGAATGCAGTCACCAGGGCCATCGTATAGACGACCGGCGCCGTGGGGCTGGCTCTGAAGGCGGATACGGATATGCTCGATGGGACCTGAGAGGACCGAGTTGGAGACACCAGCAAAGGCACCCGCGCCACCGTATTGAGGATAAGACAGTTCGGCTCCGTTGTTGCGAGTCTGGAACCAGCGCTTCGCGGCGTTGAAGGCACCGAATTGGACGGAAACACAGGCTCCGATGCCGATGAGTGGTGTAAGCGTTCCCTTGTAAAAGGCGAGGGCACCCTCGTTCTTGTAGATTGTGGTGGCGGCGTTGATAGCAGAAGAGTATTGTGTTGTAGTTTGCAGTCGGACCTTGACAATGTCAAAGGGTTGGCCTGAGATTAAAGCGTTAGCAATTGGGTTGAATTCGTACTGTTGCACAAATATGCTGGTGACGACTTCATGGTGGAGGGTAAGCTTATCGTGGGCCAGGTCTCTCTTCTTCGCTCCCCAGCTCGGAGAAATATTCCTTTCACCTTTGCGCTGACCGACTCCCCAACAATTGAACGAAAGAAACATCAAGACATACCAATCAAGACCTGCGCGATTCCTCCAACAGCACCAGAGAAAAGATCCTTGGCCGTCTCAATGGCCGGGCTCTGCTTGGCCGACTCCAGCTCGAGAGCGTCCATTTCTTCAATTTGGCGGGGTGATCACAAACACCTTTGTCCTTCTTCTCTCCTCAACTAGCAAGGAAGCTCTCAACAGCAAAAAAGATAACAAAAAAGTAGGTGAAGCTCGCCAGAGATAAGACAACAAAGGGGGAGGAAAAGATAAGAAACCCAAACCTAACTTAACTTAGGGCGCGCGAATCGATATCGCAATCCGGGGTTGATTTGTCGCGGAGGGCGTTCGGCAAATGACGTGCTAGCATTACAAAGCCGGTAACGGAGCCCGGACTGTCGGTGTTGAGATACAACAGTACAAGTAGAGTTCGGAGAAGAGCCCGTCACAACCTCGTAGAAATCGTGGGGAATTACACCGTCTCTATACTATAATTCCGCCGACACTCTTATCGGCATCTTCTCCGGGGGCCGTTCCCAAGATGTACCAGTCTAACAATTTCATAATGAAAATGCCCATTGAAAAGGTGGACACCGACTTCGGGCTATTAAAAGCCGGAACTCGGGATCTACGCTCTAGAACCGCGAGAAACCGACATAGGTAGACTAGGTAGGTATGTATGAGTATTTGTGCATATGAAATTGTTCATTATTCCAAGATCGTCGGTCTGGATCTTTTATATCAGGCAATACTCGCTTCTATTGTCACACCCGTTTTCCTTCTCTTCAGTATCGTCTCACTCCTTGCTTCTCATCTTTCGCATCATTCTGCGCCTGCGCATGCTGCTCAATAGCCTCCTTCAGTTTTCCAACCACTTCGGGCTGGTTGCTAAACGCAGTCATGAGTAAGCTCTCTAGTTCAGCTTCCACCTTCGCTATTGGCTTCACTCCAGGCTTTCTATTATGCGAGTCGTTCATCAGAGTACCCCAGCGATGTGTGAAGTTGTAGATAGACTGTCGCAGTAATTCATCAAGCTGCTCGTTCATATCCTCAACAGTCAGGGTTTTGGCTGTCACGGAGGGTGTGCCTCTAGACCACAGACCGCCGCCAATGATGTTGGAAAAGAAACCGACCCAGTTCTGGGGGCTCAGGGTGTCCCAGATGTGAACGAAATGCTGCATAGAAGCACCATGGTTTCGAATGTCTCCGATCTCCAATGAAACCAGCTCATTCTTTATGATGAGCAAGTTTTTCACCATAAACAGGTCAGGATCTGTGCCAGCCTTTAATGACTGTATCCTTGCTTCAGCACGTTGGAGCACCTGAATGGTTTCTCGAACAATATTGAACACAACTGAGCTGTTCTTTGACTACATACTCGTTAGCCAAATCCAGTGCCATATTACAATAGACTTACAGATCTTTCTTTCGGCATGCAATTCTCATACATGCTCAGAAGTTTGATGGCTTGTTTGACCAAGGGATGGGCGTTTGATGACGCCACGCCACCGGCAACAGGTCCGATCTTTAGAGAAGCGTCTTGAACAGGCGCCTTTGTGATCGTTTTTGTGACTTCGGCTTCAAAAACTGTATCTGTCAGGGGCCACAGATGATGGGCAAGAAGTTGTGAGGTGTATTGCTTGCATTTGATGAAATATGGCGACTCCATATCATCTAAATCAGCACCAAAATATTCGTTGGCTAATAAGCCCACCACGTTACACGTCGTCTCCAATGGTGCAGTCTGTAGGACCGTTTGTAGGTTAGTCACCAACGGCGTCAAGTTGCCAGGATGAGCAATGGTGGTGTTGATGGGTTTGATCGCCTGGAACACTGAGTCTGCTGCTTGTGTCCATATGGGCTCCAGATCGAAGAGTTTCACGAACAGATTCTCCTCGTTGTACATGCGTTCGAAGCATTGCTTGATAAAATTGCGCGATGCTGTCTCAGCCGAAAGGCTCTTGACTTCTTTATTGAACTCTGCAATATCAGATTGCGTCAGAACTTTCAAGTCGCGATCTCGCGTCGTGAGATGGGTATGGATGATGTTATTAGCTGTGTTCGCGTAAGTCTCAAAGTGAGTACAGGACTCGTTTCGCTGGCCGTAAGAATCATATGCGCGGCGTATAATTCGGTGAACATTGGGTATCAAGCCATACGAGTCCAGCATCATCTCTTGGAAACGACCATACGCAAGCGCATGGCGAGCCGACTCGGATTTTGTCGCTATAATCTGACGTCCAACTTCAGGCGATACCTTTTCCAATGAGGTCTTATAGCCATGTTCAAGAAGATGAAGGGCTTTTGTGAGAAGCGCAGTGTACCGTGCAAGATAGGTATCGCGGTCCCGGTATGTCGGCTAATTGCATTAGTATCTGCTTTTGAGAGCGAATGGAACGAACTCTTACATGATTCTCCATAAAGACGATGCAGGCGTCAATATTCTCGACCATCTCTCCAAAGGAGGCATCATCAACCAATCGGCTGGCGCCTGGCGCATTGAGACGTCTTGTTGCATTATCGAGGTACGCATAATAATGAAGATCAGTCCCGACTTCGTCGGCTAATACTTCCAATCTTCTTTGTTCCTGCAAAAGTTCTTCGCATTGCGATTGGAAAGTTGACGTTTGCGCTTCGACGGAGCCAAAAGAGTTCGATAGGGAGGTAAGGAGTTTCAGCGTCGCGTTTGCATCTTCGATGAGCCCATCCAAGTGACGTTCCGTGACAGTAAGTTGGTCGCGGTATAGTCTAGCATCGGTCAGTCCTGTCTTCGTAGAAATGCCATCTTCGCCAGACACAGTATGCATACAAGTATTCCTGCTGACTGGCATCCAACAATTGCTCCTGGTACGAGTCCAGGCTGATTGCGTCGTGTTTTTCAAGTTTCTGACTAGAGTCCGAGAGCGTCAGAGCTTCCCATGCTCTGCTGTGCTTGTCGGTCCTCTTAGGCCGTGGCCGTGTGTCTTTGGACAGCTGTTCTTTGACCACTCGATAGAAATCGGAGTAGGAACTGGCTCGGCGAAGGACCGTTGGTTCTGGTGGAGTGTCGGTATCCTCTATTTCTTCGTAGACATTTGGCAATGGCGACGCAGGTTCGTGTGTTTGGCCTGTTTCCTAAACCCATCTTATGAGCTTCAACGATTATGGTGGGGTGCCAATTCGCGGGGGGGCATACATTGGGTTGTTGGAGCAGAGACTCCTTGCGGCGGTGGCCATGACTTTGACTATGGCTACTAGAGTGACTCTTCTTGCTGGTGCCCAAGTCGGGCATCAGCGTATACCAAGAGTCCTCGTACATGGTGTTGACAGAGCTCAAGGGTTCGCGGGAGCTCGTGTACTGTAACTTAGAAGCCACGCAACAGGCGTTGAATGTTAAAGTCGGAGCTAGCGCGGCCGAACCGCCGATGGGCGGTAAAATATGGGGCAATATCTGAGTGCACTTCACTAATGGACAAGGCCCTGTAGGCTGCAGCACAGCACCTCATACCTCATGTGGCGCGTGCTTGGATCTGTCTGTGGCACAGTTTCATCGTCTTTAGTAGACCTGCCACAGCCCAAAGAATTTTGCTGACCATTATCCGTAGTCCGTAAATAAGTTAGCTACTGCGGGAGCTTCAGCTCCATGACCTCACAACATTTTCTCCTTCATCGGGAGGCGACATTGGGTTCAACTTCTTGATGCAATTTGAAATCTCTCAGAGCAGATATTACCAATTACATTGACTCTGACCCCTTGCTAGCGAGCTTTCAGAATGAACGTTTCTCGAGCGACTCTTGGGCGAGCTGTTGTCCGCTCCCAAGCTCGTCAGCCTCTCACTGTATCTCGGCGCCAATGGGTTCGCTACGCCCACGATTATGGCAGCGAGTATTCTCAGCCTCCTCGCAACCGCGGTGGTAAAATCATTAGTTTTGCAGCCGTCTTTGGTCTTGCTGCTGCTGGAGCCTACTTTTATCCCATATTGACTGGAAAGTCTTCAGGACCTACTGAAGCCGAGAAGAATGAAGTTCCTACCAAGGCAGAACTCGAGTTTGAGAAGCCTCGCAAGAAAGTCAAGTCCAAAGAAGAGAACCGAGATCTCATCAGCTCCCAACATCTCCAAGTTAAGAACAGCTGGGAGCATCCTGGAGTTTATGCCTGGGGCTCTAATGTTGGAAAGGTCATCGATCCAAACTCCAATGAAAAATATGTCAAAGTACCTCGGAGAATTTCTTTCTTTGATGACAAGGTTCTCAGGGACCTCAAGCTGACATCCATCTTTGGCGCAGCAGTCACTGAGAAGGGTGATCTGGTTCAATGGGGCTTGGGCTACAACCAGCAAGACCCTTCGCCCGTGCCTACACTTGTAGGCAAAGATCTTGTCAAAATTGATGTTTCGCTTGATCGAATTATTGCTCTGTCGCGCAACGGCAATGTGTACTCTATCCCTGCGTCACGCAACGATCAAGAAGGTGGTCTGAAAGAAGAACAGAAAAGGTCCTCCTGGTCTATATGGGGATCTGGTGGTGCCCGAGAGAGCATACATTTCCGCAATCTGACACCCTCTGGTCTGTCCTATGGTGAAACCGTGAAGGACATCAGCAGCGGCCAGGAACATTGCCTCATGCTCACCTCCAAAGGGCGTGTCTTCTCTGCTGCTGCCAGTGCCCTTGAGTTTCCTTCCAAGGGACAGATGGGTATTGCGGGTTTGAGTTGGCACAACAGGCCCAAGGGACCTTACGACCAGCCTCACGAAATTACAACTCTCAAGGGATTCGACGTGGCACAGATTGCAACTGGTGATTACCACTCGGCTGTTCTTGACAAGGCTGGACGTATTTTTGGATTTGGCGACAACTCATTCGGCCAGCTTGGAATCGATACCGACTTTGGCCTTTCAGTATCTGACACCCCGGTCATGGTTCCTACCAATCTGTCCTACGCTGGCACTGGGCTTGTCCCAACGGTAACATCTATAGCGGCGGGTGGGAACAATACTTTCTTCACTGTGGATGCGAAAACCACGACAGTTCCTGGCAACACAAAAGCTCTTGCTCCGGCGAGGAGGCTTCCTCCCGTGACTACAGATCTGTGGGCTTGCGGTCAGGGAGTATACGGAACACTGGGCACTGGTCGATGGTCACACGTCTCGCCCAAGCCGACCAAGGTAAAGGGTCTTTCGTCGCTGTTCGAGTTTGACGAGAAAACCAACAAGATGAGCCCCATTAAACTCAAGTCTCTGTCAGTTGGGGCCACTCACTGCTCGGCTGTCATGGACAATGTCACCGAAGTCTCGGTCACGGGTCAAGGGACCGAGAACGAGACCAACTGGGGAGCAGACGTCGTATTCTGGGGTGGCAATGAGCACTATCAGCTTGGCACCGGAAAACGAACCAACTTGAACGCTCCAGCTTATATTGCAGCTCTGGATAGCGCTGCCGATGCTCGTAAGGAGGGTTCACCAGACTTCCACCGGTTGTCCGTGACTCCCCGTAAGACAATCCGTCTGGATGGTGGAAAGGGCCGAAAGGTCTCGTTGGAACAAAAGATTGAGTGTGGCAAGTACGTGACTGGCATCTATTCTGCCGTGTAAAGCGAGTGGCACGGCAAACAACTCAATTTGTAAGAACAGACTCGCCTCATTGTATTATAAGAAACATGTAATCGACAGATTGTATCCGCGTGGATATGATTGGGCGTTTGGGGATGGGATAATTCAGCTATGCCTTGAAATGTTAAATGCAACTTGGGCATATTCCTTGCAACTGATTGACTGATAAGCTCAGCTGACCTTACTTAAAAGATCCAATAGACTAGCGGTCTGAAGCAGTCATATGAATGGCTCACACTACTTTTGGGAATGAAACATAGAAACATGTGAATGATACATAGTTGAGACATTGAAGAAACATGCTCAGTCTAGTTATTTTTCCAGCAATGACAGTTATAATTGAAAGGTGATGATTGGCTAAGCTTGGTAGATCCTTGGGCATATCACAATAACACCTGTTGGCAATTTTCATCTGAACATCCTTGGACATCTTGCACTTATACAGGGGTTCACGAGACGTATGTACGTATGTATGAATCATGTTAGTGGGAACTAGGGAGCAACACGAGGATTGATCATGTTGATCCAGTCGATGCCACGCAAGCAAATTGCCGCTGAGTCATGAAGATAAAATCGAGAATAGAATAGAATGAGGCACAGATCGTGGAGGAGTATCCCGTAAAAATGGTGGTTAACAGGGAGTTGGTTGCCAAGATCCACGTCATTAACCCAACATGACGGGATGGGCCTTGAGACGAAAATAGAAATCAATCTGTCGACAACCAACAGAACAGCCGCCACGCAGCTAAAATGATACAGGGATGAATGAGCCACTGCAGATACCTACATTAAAGAAAAAAAGAGTTTTTACTAGACCAGGTACAACACTCAAGTCCTTGTAAACTATTGACTCTAGATCGGTCTCGAGATTACTTAGATTTGGATGCATGATCAGCGACTGAACCACGGGATCGGGTATAGTATAAATAAACAATGAGCACGTGTCCAAACAATGGATGAAATCTGTCAATTATCGCTTGCAGATCATTAATTAATTAAAGGCAAAGGCAAGGCAAGGCACGGCAAGGTACTCCCGATATAGGAGACGAGTCAAGTTACATCAGAGTGCGTAAGATAAGATATTCTTGGAACAATCTCTCTTCCCTTAGGTTTCCCCATGTTGACTGAATGACTGACGTCTGAGTTTGAGTTTCATGTCTCTCTTGGTCACGTCACGTCACGTCACGTCACGTCGCATCCCGTCGTTGCTCTTTTTTTCACTTTTTTTCTTCCTTCTCGATTTCGAGGTCCTCGTGAATATTTGGTTGACTACTACTGAGGTAGACGTCGTGATTCTGCCCCTACAGTCGTTACAGTCAACCAAGAATCAGTCTCCTTTCCTCTCTTCTCTCGCTCTTACTCACTCCTTTTTATTTCTGACCTTTAACCTTACTATTTTATCCCTTGACTACTTTACCTTACTCCTTCCTCTGCCTCTTACATCCCAAATCTTTCCGTTTGCGGTATCAACTCCACTCACGTCTTCTCCTTCTCCTTCTCTTCTCTTCTCTTCTTCACATCAGGCTCAAACTTATCATTCTTCTACTACTTCTTCCGCTTCTCGACATATAAACCCTTGTAATCTTTCGCCTCTTCTCACGGTCCCGCCACTATTAAAAGATTCCGCCATCGACTGCGCCTGCGCCCCTCCAAAGACCACCACGCAGATCCGACCCCTGCCTGCCTGACCTCCACCAGCCAAGAGGGCCCGACGCTATTCCTCTTCTTACGCCCAAATCTCCGTCGCCTTTGCTTCTTATACTTGGGCTGTCGCTGTTCGACGAGCACCAGCTTCAAGCCCAACTTCTCCTGGGGATATCCACACCTGTCTTTACCCAACCCCGACGCCATGGACAGGATCCCCAAGTTCAGGCGCAAACCCAAGAACCCCACGATCCAGACCTCCGTCGAACGCTCCAGCAGCGATACTGCCGATAGTATCGCCAGTACCGAGTTACAGGCTGCAACTTTGCAGTCGCAACAACTGGACGGGCAACAAGTCCTACCACAAAAGTCAAAGCTCTCAAAGAGGGCCGCTTTCAGAAATTTCCGTTTGCGCGGCTCCACAAAGAGAGCGCGCGACAGTCCACCCGTCGAGTTGCCTTCCAGTCCTCCGCCGGCCGTCGTGAGCCATGACGGTGTCAAGAGTCGACCCGTCACGGCCGAAGGCGATGCGCTGGCTCATTCAAAGGGGTCAGGTCCCCGAATTCCTGCCTTTTTGGAATCTTCGATGCAGGGTATACAACACAAAGTCGTGGCGCATTAATCAGGTCTGACATTTTATAGATATTGATTTCAAATTCCAGGAGTTAACGTGGGCGGAACGAGACCGAGTTCTTGAGGGCACAAAGAATGAGGGGGATGAAGACTTCAAATGGGGGACTTTCAAGCAGGTTGACACCCAGGAGAAGGGTGTGATGGATCGCTACATCAACATCAAGCCTTGGAATCACAACCGAGTCAAACTGCAGGTCCCTGAGGATGAGCTTGACTATGTCAACGCTTCCGAGATCACTCTCACCTCGCCTTCTGATCCTAGCCGTGAGCCGTTACGATACATCGCCATGCAAGGGCCAACGCAGCCATCGATCGACTATGTCTGGCGCATGATTGCAGAGCAAATGTCTTCACCTGCCGTTATCGTGCAGCTGACAACCATGGCAGAGGGTGGAGTTGTCAAATGTCACCAATACTTCCCCGATAACCAAGATCACCCTACCTGGACTCTGAACGAACACGATGCGTGGAACGATGACTGGCAGGCCCAGATCACGTACGATTCTTTCGAGGAACTAGCTGAAGGTGCTATTGAGAAGCGCAAGCTACTTATGCACCTGAAAGATGAAGAAGAGCCCCGGGTCGTGTGGCACCTTCTGTATAGACGATGGCCTGACTTTGGGGTTCCCGAACTTGAAGATCTCGATGGCTTCTTTGACCTCATGCGAATTTCGCGCGAGCTGAGCGCGCCCGAGAACCCGCGAATCATCCATTGTAGTGCTGGTGTTGGCCGAACCGGCACCTTCATTACACTTGAGCATCTAATGCGCGAGCTAGAACTGGGCACCTTTGAGAAGTATGACGAGCCAGTAGAGGGTCCGGATCTGGTTTTCGAGACGGTCGACCATCTCCGAGAGCAGCGTGTTGGCATGGTTCAGGGCCGTCCTCAATTCATGTTCATTTACCAAGTTATGCGGAAACTATGGCAAGATAAATATGGAGTCGATGAAGAGGGCAATGAGCCTGCAGCTAAGAGGCTGGAAGTTGGCGATCCATTCATAGATGACTCGGTATCCGACTCTACGCAAGCCAACCACTAGCATCGGGGCTCCGAGGATTGAGGTGTGATAATGGAGTCTAATTATCTGGCGTTAACTGCGATGATTTGGTGGAGTTGCAGACGGGAATGCATATGGGTTGGGCTGCGGCATGATAGCTGCGGCAACTCAATTTTACGGTTTGAGGATGACACGCAACCTCTCAAAATATCTGTGTTGGGAGGAAGCTGATGGTTAAGTGTTACCCTGTCATGAGTTAATTGGGTGCATAATCTGCTTTGCACAAGTGTATGATGGTTAGCAGAAGTGTATGATCAAGTCAAGCACGGCCAGGAACAGGAACAGGAACGGGACTTGAGGGTTTATGATAAAACAAACATAGAGCTCGCATCTCATAATGGGGAGATGACGACGGTACAGGAATAACCAAGTCAAATCAAGTCAGGTCGATATGACTTGGGGGAGGTCCATCTATTATAATGATACCAAGCGCATGAACAAGGGGTTGCCAAGCATTCTTATCATATATCAGTTTAATCAAGAGGCGGCAAGACATTTCGCATAACGATAGAAATTAAGTAATGTCCACGAGGGCCAAGGACCAAGGACCAAGGATCAAGGACCAAGTTTTTAGGAACGGGTTATGTACTGTTTCTTCTGTTCAATATTCAGATCTATCCTTCAACTGGAAACATCGTCGTGATACTGCTGTCAATCTAATAAAAAAGGTTGTGGCCGCGTGCCAACTTTGTACTGTATATAAATCAACTTCATTACCACAATACGCCACCATCCGCTTCACCAATACCTCAGTCAAATAGCTCGCAAAATAAACAGAGAAGGAATTTTTATAGGAAAGCAAAACAACCAGAATCTATGCGCTAATCACCAACGTCACAGTCTCCTTCTCCTTCTCGGTGACGGTGACGGTAGCCTGGTCCTTTTCTGTCACTGTCACTGTGAAGTAGACCGATACAGTCGGAGTACCATCGACGACAATGGTTGTGGCGTGAGCATCGTCGCCAGTGCGTGTTCCAGCAGCGGGCTTCTTATCATCTTTGCTGCCTTCATTGTCGACCTTTGCTTCTGTAGCAGCTGGAGACGGGGCATCCGTAGGCTTGTCGGGAATGGGGATGAGGACCACGGATGTGGGCTTGTCATCGTCATCATAACCATCTTTACCCTTGTCGTTGCCGTCTTTTTCTTTGTTATCATCATCGTTTGGTGAGCCTGTGGGCTTAGCTTCATCAGGCTTCTTGATGGACTTGGTCAAAGTTGTGCCACCAGGGAGAGGAACAGATGTGGTGCTTCGCTCAGCGACGGGGGCAGAAGTGGGAGGGAGGTCTTCATAGGCCTTTGTTGGCTGAGGATTGGAAGGCTCCGCGGGGTTTGTCTGACTAGGTTTCTCCTCTGATGGTTGGGATGGCTGTGCCTCGGCTGGTTGAGTCTGAGCTGGTTGACTAGGTTGCTCAGCGACAGGCTGAGTGGACTTCTCCGGCAAAGGTTGAGGTTGAGAAGGTTCCTCTGGAGCTGACTGACTTGTCTGTTCAGGGGCGGGCTGTGTAGGCTGCTCAGGCACAGGCTGTGGTTGCGAAGGTTGCTGATAGCCAGGCTGTGAAGTTTGTCCATTGGCAGGTTGAGTTGGCTGCGATGGCTGTTGAGCAGGCTGAGAAGGTTGATCTGCAGCAGGCTCTCCAGTTGGTTCAGGGGTTGCGCCGTCATCGACAGTAACTATAGTCGTAACAGTAACGACAGGAACCGAAGGCTTCTCGGCAGCTGATGTAGTTGCAGGCTGCTCCTTGCCTCCATTTCCATTTCCGGGAACAGTGTTGTCCTCACCACTGCTCGGAGTTCCACCAAGAATCTTGGCAGCAGTCGCAGGATCTTCACAAACAATCTTGATGCCACCCTCAAAGTTGTACAGAGGAAGAGCGAAGCACTTCTCGCCTTTGGTATTGCAAGGTGTGAGCTGGAACTTGCCAGTATCATCACATACACCGGTTTGTCCGTTAATACAAGCAGCCTGGCCCTTCATACAAGAAGACTCGGGTGTGAGTTTGGCAAATTCCTCGTTGTATGTGCGAGCATCGACGACGTTGCTGGCGTACGCAGAAGCAGGAATGGCACTGGTTCCTGTGGGAACACCAGGGTTGATGGTTGGAACGCCGCTGGCTGATGTTCCCGAGGGGACTACCTTAGGCGCTGAAGTCATCTCAGGGGCTGAGGGGTCAGATACAAGGACGGTGCTGGTAGGTGGTGCAGCGGGAACTGCAGGCTGGGTATTGGAGTCAGGTGCAGGATATTGGGGCTGACCATTCGAAGGGACAGATGTTGGCTGCTGAACTGCTGAAGTGACTGAGGGTGCCTCAGGCTGTTGGACCTGGGATGTGACTGGGGTCTCTGGCTGAGCTTGAGCTGGCTCCGAAGTAGGAATTGGACTCTGGGGCTGGGAGGGAGCAGTTGAAGCCGGCACACCAGGCTGGGACTGAGCAGGTTGTGAAGTAGGGACAGGGTTTTGAGGCTGAGCCAGTGCAGTAGTAGCAGCGGGGGTATCAGGCTGTTGACCACTAGGGTTTTGCACAGGAACATAAGACTTTTGAACTTCAGAGGTGGGAGCAGGATTGTTAGGCTGAGCAGGTTCGGAGACTGGGGCTTGGGTCTCAGGTTGAGCAGCCTCTGAAGTGGGAACAGGCTGACTTTGTGCATCAGATGTCGTTTGGGACTGGGGTCCCTCAGGCTCAACTACAGACACAATCCGAGTTGTGCCCGCAGGAGACTCCGACTCAGGGGTGGAAGTCTCCTCCAGAGGGCCTTCAGATGTGGTAGAAGGCTTGGGGTACACTTGAGTAGGGTGTTTAGGATTGACTGGGAAAGCTGTATCCGAAGGCGCCTTGGTTGTAAGATAACCAGTAGGAGTCGGTTGGTACGCAAAGGTAGTTGTCTCTTCTCCAACAGCAGAGGTAGGTTGCTCGTTTCCTGGAGCTGTTGTAGCGGGAGCAGAGGGCGCCTCAGGGGTCGTGGTCTCTTCAACGGCGCTTGGCTTAGTCTTCTCCCCATCTGAAGGTTGAAGTGTACCAAGGTCAAGAGTAGAGGACAGACTCTGAGTACCTGTGTTCTCTGGCTTCTGAGCTGCTTCGGTCGTAGGGACCTCGGGGACTACAGTTGTAGCATCGTTAACAGGTTCGGATGTCGGTGCCTCGTTTGCAGAGGTGGGAACCTCTTTGGTAACTGGGGCAGTCTCAGAGACAACTGCAGTATCCTTGGGAGGCTTATAGTCTGATTGTTCAGCCGAGGTGGGCTTCTCAGCCACCGTGGTAGGGTCCTTGGGCACGATTGAGGTTGTGAGAACAGGTGCAGAAGGGTTCTGCGTGAAAGTTGGCTTGTTTCCAGGCTCTTGGGTTGAATCTTGAGCCTCACTCGTCTGCTCGGGGACATCACTGGTTGGTTGAACGGGGATAACCTCGATAGGCTCGGGAAGATCAGAGTAGGGGCCCTTTTTCTTGTCGTCACCTTGGTTTTCAGAGAGTAACGGATTCGGTTCGGGTGTCGAGTTGAGCGTCTCAAAAACAGGACGAGGCGTAGTCTGATCTCCATTGCCACTACTGTGATAAATCGTTAGATATGAGTCCTCACGGTCTGTCTTCAAATCTGATCCATACCCGTATCCGTCGTGAGCTGCAGTGGGAGTTTGGGAGTTTTCCATCCTGACGTCAAGGAAAGCGCCAGGGTTTCTTTTTTCTCTGCCACTCGAGTTAGATACAGTATTTGCAAAAGTGTTATGAGTTTCTCCGTACATTCTACCCGTCCACATAGGGCCAGCCTGCGCGGACTGAGCAGTCAAAAGGAGTGACAAGGCCACGGCGAGCCTTGATCTATTACACCGCATTGTGAAGAGTATGTCGATAGTAGTATAGACTTGCTGAAATAAAGATCGTGTTGGTGAAATCGAAAAGATTCGTGCGTTTAAATCGTTCGTTCGTTTGTCGGTTCGTGAGTCAAAGTTGTTGTAAGTCTTTTGAAATGATTTGATAGTTGCACGAAAAAGAATAATGTTGATCGCTTCCTCCCAACTTCAAGCTGATTAAGAGTAAATAGGAATTGTCTCCAAACAAAACAAAACAAAAAAAGAGTTACTTGTTCAGACACAAACGGACAAGACAAGAGAGCTTGTTCGCAGCGTCAACGATGACGAACAGTACCTAGTAGAAGAACAAAGCGGTGAATGAAAGGAACAGATTGAGTATGAAAGAGAGTCACACAAAACAGAGAAGAGAGAGAGAGATAGGAAATACTTGACAAAGGAAAAAAGAGAAAGAGGAAAGGGAAAGGGAAAGGGAAAAGGAAAAGACGAAAGTGGTGAGGGCTAGTGAGTGAGTGAGTGAGTGTATATTGTATGCTGAGAGTAGTACTAGGAGTGAAACCATTCACACAAAGTTGGTGGTAACACTCTGTTAATGTATATGCAGTGCGTGCCCCCAAGAATCACTCATGTCCAATTAGCGCCAGCAAAAGACGATGAATCGCCTCACAAAAGTCTCATGTCGTATCGGATCTCTCATATTTTCATGGCCCATGGAGTCTCTTCTCTTGAACCGTCCATGAATAGCTCTGCTATACCCTGCCATGCCCTGCCCTGTCCTGTCCGCCAGCCACGCCTGAGTAGGTATCAACAGGCGCCCAATCCAAATACCCCAGCAATTTACATGTAAAACATTTACAAGAAAATATCCGAAAACCCTCAGCCAATCAAGCTTGTCTCGTCTCTGTCGAGCTGTACTATAAAAGACTGGCTCTAAGCGCTCTGTTTCAACACCTTATTCGCGGCCTCTTCCTATTGGCGGTATCAACCCCCACTGCGGCCGGGACCTACAGTAGCTGCCAATCGTCCCCTCTCCACTGAACCGACCTGCGGCCTTGTAGGCTTTTAGTGCCTGTTGCAGGGTTTCGCGATGCCTTCATGGATACATCCACATAGTAGGCAAATCTGGTCCGGGCTTGGTCATCTCTTCTGTTCTCTTACCGAAGTCATGTTTTTTTTCGGTTTGGTCGACCCACAGTTGGCCTTGACGGTCTAGACCTGATCAGCCCTTCTCATTTCCCCTTTCATGCTTCCTCTATGAGTGGCTAGTTAAGAATAGATGACCTCCAGAACCGTCCTCTTGGGTCTCTACATGATTTGGCGATAGCCGCCCGTTAGTAGCGTAGGCAAGAAAAGTATTCGGCCAGATCCATGGACCGTGGCTCAGCTCTTAGCCCTTGAGCTACTAAATAGACAGATCCCTTTTACTTTGAAATTTCATTGCTTTTTCTATAGTCGTTTCAACCAACAGGCGCCTTTTTCATGGATGTTGTACAATATTCTATACATACACGATAAACGCCACCGCGTCTAAGTCCCGCCATCAATGTTCTGTTTATATTAAACCCAAGACCCTAGGTTCCCAGCAATGATCCTTGTCCGCCACTTCGCAGGGCTGTTCTCTTGGTAAACTCTCCAGGGCTGCTGAACTGGTGCTCTGCAGTCTCATGCTTGGTTTCAATCGCATCCAGGTCTAAATCCTCGACATTCGTGAGCAGGTGATTCTGTCGATTGTGTTCTCGGATGCGAGCCCACTTGAGAACTCGACCCAACTCTTCATGTCCGTGAACGGCATTGGCCTGGATATACGACTGTACCATCTGCTCCCCTGGCCATTGCCAGATCCCAATCTGGAATCGCACGTCTCGTACGCGATTGCGCACTTCGTCCGTCAACATGGGTTCCGCAAACGCACGATATGCACAAAGAGTCTCTAGCATGTCCACGTCGTGAGGCAACTCCTCCATGTTTATCATCTCGTCTTCTTGTGACTGTAGAGGGGCCCATTCCGTCATGAGCCACACTGTCAACTGAGCCATCTCACTATACTCCCCTGCAAACGCCAGCGACTGCATCAGGTCGTGAGCAAACGGCGCCAACACGGGATCTCGCCGTGATCGCATGATGTCCACAAACGTAAGATCTGTAGTTTCTTCTGCTTCTGGCCGCTGCCTCTCCTGTTCCTCGGCGACGAGTGCATGATAGAAGCCTTTCATACGCGAAATAAGAACACGGAATAGGTGGAGGGCTGAGTTGCTCCTTGTCTCTGTGTCTATCTCGGTGTTGGCACAGTCTTCCTCGGCGCTTTTGCAATAGAGGGTGCCAAGCAAGTTGAAATTGGTGTTGTTGGCTTCTACAGCGCTCGCCAGCACCTGTAGCTCTCTTCGCAAAATCTTCCGCAGGGTTCTCACAAATCTGTTGAAGAGAAATAGAGTCATTCCCTGCACGGCGTCGATACGATCTACAAGGTGTATGATCAGACGAAGCTGTGCCTCTAGGGTGAGTTTCAGACCATAATGATGCTGCCCGACATTTTTCATGATAGGTGCCCAGACGTGAGGTAACCAGTTCTGGTTCCTGCGACCCACACGCAGCTCTGCGAGCCGAATAGCGCGTATCAGATTACTGCCTTTGGGGTGCACTGTCTTGGACAACATATCCACATACGCTGAGAACAATGGTAGGGGAATAGTCTTCAGCATGTCAGCTGTTGGCTCGGGTACTAACAAGTAAGCGTAGTTGTGGTGTTCCGTGCTTCCGTCTCGCAGATAACGATGAGCTTCTTGGAGAGTTTGGGCGTTTGCCACTAGAATGTGAAGAATGTGTTCATCGGGCAACAAGCCGTCGCATTTCATCATCTCATACAACTCTTGAGGTGTCGGGGGTTGTTGCCGCAGCTTCTCCAGTTCCGTCAAATTCATGTCCACATTTGTAGGATGACTTAGAGAATTGTCTCCCGGTAAGCTACCTTTCTCTGGATCGGCATCACGGGCAAATGATCTCCGGAACATGGCTGCATATTCTGGCAGCCCAGGAGCCATGCCAGCTTTTGGTGGTTGGCAGAACTGCTTCCACGCTTCATGAGCGTTGCGTGTAGCAATGATTGATGCTTGCCAAGCCGAAAGGTCTTGCTTCGGGTCTACTTTGACCTGCTGCTGAATTGCTGGAGTACCACTAGGGGTCAAGCCTAGCAGAATATCCAATGCGCTGTCAGTCTCCTGTTTGGAGAATCCTGCTTCCTGCATCATCATCCCTGCCCGGACAACGCGAGACCAGCTCTCTTCTGCTTCCATGGCCTCGTCCATACCGTCTGCTGGCTGTAGATATGGCGGCCATGACTTTGAATAGCGTGTAGCGTTGTGGATCTCGTCCCTATTCTTTGGCATCCCGGACAGCACAGCTCTGATTGCGCGGAACGCATTTCTGTCTACCAAAAGGGCTTCCGGGAGACTGCCCGACATTCTCAGAAGAGTACGCTGAGCCTCCCAGACGTACGCATAGGGTACAGACGCATGCTGCGGCCCGGATCCGCTATTCCGGGCAATAGCGGTCAGGCCGGCATTGAAGTATTTGCATCTCATCCAGTACGTCTGTTCGGCAGAACCTATCTCGTAGTTGAAAATAAATTCCGCCATTATATCGGCAAGCACAATCAGGCGCCTTGCTTCTATGCGACGACAGTGGAAAGCAAGTCGTTCCATGATGATCATGAAATCTTCTGTCGTGAATCTTTCCATCTCACTGCTTGCACGCCCTCTACCCCAAGACATCTTGCGAGCCTTCTCAGTCGTACCACGTAGCCGTTCTTGAACATACTCCAAAAGGTGGTCCAAAGTCGAGATTTTGTTAATGCCCGATCCTAATCTTAGCAGATAATTCAGCATGAAGACGGGTTTCGGCGACATATCTGCCAAGAATAGTCGGCATCGGTCTTCGTCGGTTTTGGCCAAAAGTATGCTCATGTATTCGTTAAGTCGCTCCTCTGTATTCCCGCTGTATTCGAGGGTCTTCATCAGTGCTTCCCACTCCGACTCGTTCGGCAGCGCTTGGGCAAGATCTCGGTTGTTTTCGGGGTCGGCTTCTACCTGACGTCGAAGGTGCATTTGAATCACGACGACCGGAAGGCGCACAGTTCGGATGGCGGCAATTTCTAAGAGCGTTTCTCGAGACGGTTGTTCCAGGGCAAGATATTTACGAAGTAGAACTGCAGGACTTTGCTCTACCCAGCCTTTGAGCATCCTCAGCCGTCGCTCAATCCGCCCGCGCCCATTGTCTTGATTGAGGTCTGAGAACTTGAAGGCATTCTCCGGATCGTACAAGCGCTTGGGCAGCACTTTCTTGCGCCGCTTTTGATTGTCCTCAACACGACGGCCGTTGATTATGGCGGTCTCGAGTGCGTCCACAGAGGACACATATCGGCGGGCTTGGGCTGAGTTTAGGTGCGAAGCGGACTGGGAGAATCAATTGTAAGCTTTACATTGGTAAAAAAAGAAGAAATCTCGGCTTTTGATACTCACCTTGGTTTGGATTGTCACGTTTTGCGACAAGTGCCACCCTCGCCTCAGCTCCCGGGTTGCACTTCTCAGCATTTCTCGCCCATTTCTTCAAAGCCTATAACACAGCTAAGAAGATTGTATGTAGCGTAGCAATTAAGTGCGGGAGTTGTGATATTTGCTATAGCGTACACAAAGTTGAAAGTTTCGATTTCCAACTGCACCTATCCCGTCTGCGGGTACAATTTGCATGCTCCAATCGAGATTATCGGAGTATCGGGTAGCCCATGTTCAACTCATTACAACAGCCAATCCGAGGTCGCTCCCAGCACTTCAGCTCCTCCACCAAAACGAGGTAGGCTACATAGGTCCCTTATTATTAGCTTCATAACTTCATAAATGCGCCTGCGTACATCAGGATTTCTCATGATGTTATTGAAGTTATGTATTTCTTTCAAAGGAAAGCGTCTGCCTAACAATTCGCGTGGTACTTTTGATGCGCTAGATCCTTTGCTAATTCTCATGATTTACCAAAACAACAAACCTGTGCTGGCAAAGAGTTTGGTATTCTTCTCATTTTTACTCTACTTTTTGCAGTTAACATTTCATGGACACATCAGATACCAGAAGGACCTCTTCTTTTGAATTATTCGCCTTGGGACTTCCCTTTCTTCTTCTCTGCCTCCTCCTCGACCTTGTCCTTTCGCTTCTGCACAACCTCCCAGTTGTAAACTCTTGCTATAGCGACCTCCATTGTCTTCGACATGGTCAGTGACCGTCACCCTGATAGCGGAGGCTTTCAAACTTACCGTAATTTGTTCGCGGAGAAAATCCAAGTCTTCTTCGCAATTAGACAAGCTGGTCTTTGCCGTGGATAACTTGGAGCTCAATAGTGTCTCTGCCTCGTCTATGGGGTACGAGAGCATCACATTCGCCTGTAGAATGTCAGCTTCCTGCTGCCAAATTTGGCGATAAGGGGACGTTACTCCTAGCCAGATGTAGACCTCCTCTGTCGCCGGAATCTTCGCCTTCGAGTACAGAGTGTCGTTCAGTTCGAACGTCGTATCTATCGCCTCGTCGTCATCCTACATCAAGCATCAGTCCCGCTTTGTCCAGGAACGCGCTGCACGTGCACACCTTTCTTAATTTCAAAAACTTGACCGAGTCAAGAGTCTTCTGGATATCCGGGATCTTCTCCTTGAGGCCACCCATTCGCTTCTGTAGGTTCATCTCCATGAATTGGTATTTCCTACCCCACCATCCAGAGTCAGCGCCAATGCCTGCATTGCAAGCTGAAGAGAGCGTGCATTTGAGGGCGTGTGTCGTCCTAAAGCTTCTCGACAAAATTTGACTCACGATATCATTTCTTGGAAGCTTCGTAGAGTGGGTTCGACGTCGTCACGGGTAGACACATAGTCCTCGACCTTGTCGACGAACGGAGCATAGGGGATGCCCCGTGGGTTTGTTGGCGTAGCATCTTTACTATGTGGGGGTAAGCTTGTGTCTTCAATTTCATGAGGTTGGGTTGAGTTTCTTCGGCCTCTTACCTTTGCGCTGCCTCTTTTCCTTTTGACGCCATCTTGTCGGTGTCGATTTAAGTATTGGGGCGAGACGAGGTAGCTGTATGAAGCTGGGGTTAGGCGTGGGCGGGTTTTGCGACTTGGAGCATTTCGTCAGTGGGGTCTCACCAGGCTCGGTCAACGGTGAAGGTGGGGGCACTCACCTTGACTTTGACCTCAGGTATTGAATTAACTTAAGTGCACAGTACCCTTATTCAAAGTAACAGAATACAAGGCCGATGGCTACAATGTCTCATTGATTCATATAAACCCCTCCCTTTCACAGCATCTAGTTTTCTTATCCTCCTTCAGTGATCAACCTCCTGAGTTTACGGAACCCTATAAAGGCTTCATCATCACTTACATGACAGACAAGCTGGTGTGTTTTAGCCCAAGAGTTGCATGACGCTGAGTCAAACCTGGCGCAAACATTTAGTTAGCCTCATCTATCAGAGTTAGGTTCCTAGAAAAACGATCGATATGCTCTGACTCGCCCAAGGACTGCGCCTGGTACATCCCCGAACAGAAGCGCTCACAAGGACACGCATCGATGTGAGTACTGGCCAGTAACGAGGAGTCTTGTTAGATCCCTGATCCCAATAGACTGATGAGGCTCGGATTAAATCGCGGTGAAAATTATATGCGATCTTTCTCTGGGTACATGCGTTGGCCGAAGCGTAAAGGTCCTAACTTTTGCCTCAAGTGATTATCACAAAGCTTGTTCACAAAAAGCTTTGCAGCCATCCTGAGACTGACAAAATAGCTGCCTATCAAAGATAGCTATCGCCGTTTGACTTTGGATTCCCGAAACTTAACTTATACTTTAGTTTTATTGTTAAATATAAAGCGACATCGAAACCCTCCTCTGAAGTCTCTCAACTTAGAATGCCCTGTTTTCTCGTTGACGAGACCATCTCTCTCAGAGTTACCTGCAAACCTCTGAACAGTTACCCTATTATATTCCATTGGCCCCAGCGTGTCTTCACATAAAAGCTCGTCTTCGAGGCTCTGTACGTGGACTAATCGCTATGCTTCCTCAACAGGAAAACCCGGAACCGAGCACATCATCATATGGCGAAGGCTTGTAATCTAGATCAAACACTCACAGTGTCGGTTCCAACTGGCGTTACTAACTTCTAATAGATTTGGACTTACCTATCAGGAGATGGACAGCCCCGAGAATTCCAAAACAATAGCAGACCGCCTTACCAAAGAACGATACCAGATACCGCAAGTGCCCACGGCATATAAAAACGGAAGACAGTGGCATATCAGAACGCTCCCTAAGCCTGCATATCTAGCGCGTCGTCCTTGTCGTCTTCCTGCCCAGCATGGAGCAGTTGGGGATGGTCGTCCTCTCCTCCACAAGTCAGCGTCAGCTTCAGGTTCCGCCCGCCAGGACCCAGAAAGAGATCGGACTTCATACAAGCTCAAAGCGCCACCGCATTTAGTAGACATCTTTTCTCCCGATGATGGTCATGTGGCCACAACATTAGCGGAACTAGTAGCCTCGTCTGAAGCTGACGAAGAGCCTATGTCCGATATATCAGCACCGGTGATAACCCCATCTACTTCTGACGAAGATCCTGATCCTGACCCTGATCCTGATCCTGACTCTGAAGGGCCAACCAAAGTCGGTCAAGAAACTGGATTGCTGTACATCAGAGATTGGAAATCCGCACTTTCTTACAAGCATGGTCCCCTCACCGACCCTGATTATGTCGCTGTTTCTTTGTCAGCTGCATCTCGTCCACCAAACAACCCCATGAAATGGCGCGATAGGATAGAGGAAAGGAACACATATCAAGGGCTATAAGCAATACTTCCATCGTGGGCTAGTCAAACCCCATGCAGTTGCTATGATAGCTGGAAGTTGAATTTTTCCCATAGTCTGCATTATCCATGAGACGGATAATTTAGCCATATCAGAACGAGACACGTCAAGGCGAAAATAATTCCTAGGATAGTTCAGCGTCGATATCATTTTCAATACGGGAAAATAATGGATATTCTTGTTTGGCTCATTCGATACCAACAAGTCACCAAGCCATCAAACACAATGTAATCAAGTTGAACATAAATCGTGCCGGGCCATCCAGTCATAAGTCGTGGCATAGCATCTCTACATGACCATAGCTAAGCTCATCGGTCGTGTTAGTCCATTCGCTTCTTTGTATCTCCCAAGTCACCATCGTCCGCGTTGGTTTCCAACGCCTTGGTGTTGGTTGAAGTCTCGTGTGTTTCGTCCTCGTCCCAGTCATCATCGATCTCGTTCTCGTCCCAGTTGTCCACCTGTTCTTCCAATGTCTGAGAGCGGCTGTTGCCTTCCATAACGCCGGCCTCGTGGCCTTCGCCGAGCTCAACATCGCCCTGCTCTTCGCCAGGAACAGCACTGTAACGTCTACGTCGCTTGCGCTCGAGCATACGCTTGTGGTACCACGAGCAAAGGCCAACACCTAATAAGCTTCCTATCACATTTGCAATAATGTCGTACAGATCAAACTCCCGACCATTATCGAGGAAACTTTGGACGAATTCGGAACCGACACCAAGAACGATTGTGCAAACGACCAAAGTCATATTCATAACACGTCTTCGGTTCGTATCGACAACCCAGTAAAACACAACGGTAAGCGCAAAGAAGGTGGTGAAGTGCAACACCTTGTCGTTGACATATTGACCAAGTTGTATTGAAGTCAATCCAGCGTAGGCGGCAATGAGGAGGAGGAGCAGGAAGACGCCTAGCAAGCTATTAGTTTGGTTCATGGCTAATGATCATGTGTTTGAGTTCTAAAAATTGATCCCAGAATGGGGCGCCAGTCCATTTGACAACACTGAGGTGACTCGGACATAATGCCATGACGTACCTGCAACTGGGAGTCGTATTCGCATCATGGAGAGTCCCGTAGCTGGAGTTGAGCTTGATAGGTCTAACAGAGTCTTTAACTTCCAATTTCGTATAAGAGAGTACTCGGTTCTCCAAAAGTGGCGTCTCGCTCGGAACAAATGTCTGTTCTTCTACGAAAGCAAAGCCGGACAGGTTGTGATAATTCGTTGTAGAAGACTAGGATTTAGAGCTTTGACCGAGTAGTAGGTAAGGCAGGCAGTTGGAGAAAATGAAAGCGTGGAGCTCTCCTCCATGTTGGGAGCTGAGTGACGACGATAGCCCTTGTGGCGGGGCTCGCGAGCTCGTCTAACAACTGTGGCAGTGCGTGAACTTTGATTCAACAGGGGTTTGCCAGGTCATCCATCCAATGGAATCAAGAAGAGTGTAACGTGGACACTTGTGCTACCCCAGACCCCAGCAATGGGTACAAGATAAACTGAGGACCTGCATCTTAAGCGACAAAAATACTTAAGTGAATTCACTATATATTCTGTAGGTTTTTAGACGGTTTTGTTTTAGCACCTAAGTTTAAAGCCAGAAGTTTTCCTGCTCCCTCATGGCGAGTTACAGTAGATCACTTCTTCAACCTTTGATAGCATAGTTCCTGAAGCTTCAGGCTGTGGATTTTTGTGTGATCATACAAAAATTAACCAAACTGCAGACAACCAAAAATATTGCACTGATGCAAGGCTGCTGCAAGGAACGCCGTCATCCTTCATGCATTGGAAGGTTGCAAGGCGGGCAACAACTTGGAGTTTGATAAAGGTACTTTGGTGGTCTCATTGGGGGCCCCATTCTGGGCTTGCTAGGCACAGACACAGATGCAGGCATGCCCCCCATACTCCTCGATCTTGTGTATCACTGGCTACAGATAATATCTGGGGTGATCTAGAAAGATGGCGTCGTTCCTCATCAATGGTTTGTGGAGACAGGGATGTGTATTGCATTGTTTGCATACATACATTCATTGTCACTAGTAAACCCCTTGATGAAGGGGCTCGATACCCGATTCACGTACAGGGAAGCGTGTGCTGAATTCCCTATGATGGTCCCTGAGGATAGACATGCTAAAAGTTGAGCTTTCAGACGTTGCTTGTCTTCAATTTCGACCTGCTCGTAGGCTTGTTTACCTGAGGACCTACCTACCGAGAGCGTTCAAGAGATTTCTGGCACGTGATTTGCTGACAAAGACATCTATCTGGGCTCCGGGCATCCTCGGGGCCGAAGCAGGTCCTCTGTAGGTACGGAATACATTGTGGATAATCAATGAGAAGGGAGTGTGCCGAAGACCGGACAATCAAGCGAACAAAGGGATTGCCATACCGATCAATAGTTTCAGTACAGAGAGGAGAATTTAGCAATTCGAGGAGACTCTCCAATCACCCACACTGACCCGCCTATAACTTCAGCCTCTTCAGGTCCTTAATACCCGTAACTCTCCCCCGCGAGATTCCCCCACGAGTCGGTCCAGCGCGCGCTCACTCAGGGAAAACTCTCCGCTTCGGGAAAGGTACCTGACAAGGCTCCCCCCAAATCATCAACCTCACCTCTTGAACAGACGACAAAACGGCAGAACGCGATCCATCAAAACACCACCCTCCGCTTGCCATATAATCAACAAATTTTATACGCCATCTCTACCGATGCCCCTCGTTTGTCCCATGTGGTCTTGAGCTCACCAATCGCCCTCGGTCCCGCCGCACGCGAGCGCATCTTGTTGCGCATGGCGACTCGCGCCCCGTTGTCGCTATCATCGCCCCGGGTCCATCATGTCCATCACCAACGGCCAGCCCGCCTGGCAACCTCCCTACTTGCACCATACCAACAGTCATAGGAGCGTATCGCATCTCGATGATGTCCCTGCGCGAACTCAGACTCCTATTGATAATCCAAGTGTGCTGATGCCTGAGGCACCACTTGACATCGAGGAAGAGAACCGACGCGCCCTATTTGCGGATTTATATCGCAAGACCGAGGACAAGGTCGCGTTGCTCTTCTCCGAAGATGGTTCTTATAATTATCCCGCGATATCTGCTCTACGACGTTCTCCGCCCCCCTCCGCAAACATTATCCCTCCCACAACCGACCACGAGCCAATCAAGGAACCCCCCTTAAAGAAAGCGAAGCGCACCATCGATGAGGACGACTACGACGATGATGATGACGACGAAGAAGATGACGAGCCGTCGCAATCAGCATCAAAACCTCATTCTGCTGGAGCCCCTGCTAATACGTTACTGTCACCATCCAAATCAGGGAGCTCACCCGTTCATTCGGTGACATCACCAAGCAAGCATGGTGACAAATCCAAGGATCAAGATGGCTCACAGTCGAAAGATAAAGATGGTGAAGATGCCATAAAGAAACTTGAGGAAGCTCGTACAGCTACCGAAGCTGCCGCTCGGAGGAGTTTCCACACCATCTTTCACACCTTGGAGAATGACCATGCCGCTATGTTAGAACAACAACAACTTGAAGATTCTGAGAAGCAGCTCCAGGCCGAGATGGATCACAATCATCATCCAATCAATAACCATAGTGCTGTTCCCAACCAAGGCTCACTCAGCAGCGCCAATCTCGGTGCTTCTAGCCTAACACTGAAACATCTCATCGCTCGCATCGACATGAAGCGAGATCAGGTTCGCGCCTCTGATGCCGAACTTAGGCTCCTGATGAACGAGGTCCGCAAAAATAGGAGTAAATGGGCCAGCGAGGAGAATGTGAACCAGGAGGAATTGTACGAGGCTTTGGAAAAGGTCTTGACAGAACTCAAGGCGCATACGGAATATTCCACTCCTTTTCTGACAAGGGTCAACAAGAGGGATGCTCCAGACTACTACAATTGTGAGAAACCACGAACAGTCTCGTGCCACTGACGAAACTAATTTACCTCTAGTCATCAAAAACCCCATGGATCTCGGCACAATGACTAAGAAGTTGAAAAGTCTGACTTACAAATCCAAGGCCGATTTTGTTGTGGATCTTAACTTGATCTGGGACAATTGCCTAAGGTACAACCAAGATATGAATCACCCTCTACGGCGCATGGCCAATGGAATGAGAAAGGAAGCCGAGAAACTTATTCCATTGATACCAGACCTTGTCATCCGCTCTCGAGCAGAGGTTGAGGCAGAAGAACGGCGAAAACAGAATGGCGGAGACGACGATGCTGGAGAGGATTCCGATGACGAGCCCATTATGTCTTCACGAGGTCGCAAAGCTGGCGCAAAGGGGACAAGCAAGGCACGAAAGGCCCCAAACGATCAGAAAGAGGACACACCAGCAATAGATCAGAAGCCCATTCTTCAAGTAAATGGGCTTCTGGGAAAAGTCCGAGAAGGCTCAGAGGTTGACGGCAGCAACGGCTTTGCCACTCCACCGATTGCCGGTTCCCTCACACCAAGCGGACTTAACGGCCATTCTGGAATGGGGAGCAACGCCGATGCCATGGACATTGATGGGCCAAGTATCAATGGCCTGGCACTGAACTCCGCGTTTGGTGAAGCTGCCGAGCAGGCCTTTGAGGATGAAGAGTACAAAGTATGGAAGCAAACTACTAAGAAGGATCGAGCTCTGGTTGCCAAGGAGCGATTCCAACTTTTCAAGGACAACAAGTTCAACACTGAAGCCCCCGCACTCGTTCGCTCCAAGGCTGGTATGCGTCGATTCCTCAAGCGACAAAGGGAGGCAGAGGCAGAAGGTATCATTACTCATTCTCAAGCAAACTCTACAGCTGTGGCTTCTGAAGATTCGGCAACGAAGCCAACCGAGACACTGGCCGAGGAAATTGAGGAAGAAGAGGCTAAGGTGATACCCGACTACTATGATACGTTGAGCAACATACCAGATATTCACCCCAGACTTCAATGGGTTGAAGACGGAGAAGGGAAAGTTATCAACCAGCACGAGGAGTTTCTACGCCTAGTACC